ACTAGGTCTTCGTTGTCTTCGGGACTACACGAACGTTTCGAGAAGCAATATATAAGACATTCATCCCGAAGAGGTTTCAGAAGAAGCCAACCGAGGTGGCCCCCGTAGCGACTATGATACCCGATGAAGATATTCATGTCAACGGAGAATATGGGGCAAGCTTCCATTATGCAAAAGGACAAAGACCGGCTGACTTGGGGCCGGGGGTCATAAGTGGGACGGCGGCGACGGTCGTGACGGACTTTCCTCTGGCGTCTACAAATTCGGCCGGCGGGTGTGAGTTAAGATAGGAGACGTTCCTTGATGGGAAACCATGGTTTTATACGGCTTGCCAAGGGCCACCATCGCGATTCCTACGTAGTCCTTTGATATTTATTGAGATACTACGGGAGTCCATGAAAAGAAAAACCTCCTGTACAGGAAAGATAATACGGAATAGATGGTGATGACAACGTTTACGTCTATCGGTAGTAGGCTACTTAAGTAGTTGCAGCGGCGCATCTTTGGGAATATGGAATAGAGGCAAATGCTAGGTACTGAGCGATATCTGGATTTAAGATAGGGAACGATACCCACTCTGCTGTTATTTATAATCACCCTTCTATTTTATTAAGCTGTAAATAAATGTATTTATTCGCGGTTGATTTCTTTTAGAATACATGGTAGATAGAAACGTAGGTTGCTAAGATGTGCTAATATGTTGGATTCGAATTCCATCTACTATAGGAATATCTGGCAGCATTATATTTTACTAAGTACCACCTGCCCAGCCAGATAGCCAAACAAAGAAGAGTTACCTATGGAAATTAGCGAAAGATAATGATGGATAAGGTAGTCTTTCCATCACTCCTGGACGGAATCTCGAAGGCATTAGATAGGGAGAGTTACACGGCCGGAGTCTACGCCAATCTACTAGGTACATAGGTAAAAGGCGTCGAATAGTAGTAGAATTTGACTCTCCCCAAGCTCAATATCGGCGAATAATCTTTCAAGGTTTCAGCCTCTCTACTTAACCCGAGCTTGGCCGAACGAGAGATCCACGCATATGAGACATCGTTGTGATTCTTAAGCCTTCCTACATACAATCCCCGAAAATAAGATATCGATTAAGACAATTTCGCTTGCACTGTGTTACTTCACATCCACAGGTTACTTGCCTATTGGCCGTTGTAGAATAACTACCTGCTACCATGTGTCACAAGATCCCGTCTCCGCTCGCAAACAACTGCCTACTCTATGTAAGTACATCACCATGTACTTAGGAATTAATCTGCCTGGTATATTATACCAGTTTCTATTAATTTCACTTCGGGGTTGGACTTCTGATTCGTTTTCGGATCAGGCACTTTCACATTAAGCCTTGCTTACGTTAGGTAGATACCCTCAGCCTGATTACATGAATCATGCCCTCACAGTGATCCAAAGAGATACGCATCGGATAAAATAAGATTCTACGTAATCTAACAGAAGCTACAATGATGATATATGTTACATACGGCACCAATGAAAACTATATCATATTTCTCATTCACCTCCAATCTACAGTCTAGGAAAGGGAAGAGTGTCCCAGGTAGGCAATCATAATACGAAACCCTTCATAATCGTAACCCGGAATAGAGACATCCAAAGCCGGCCTACGAGCCACCATCTAACCACAGCTTCGCTACTCTATATCAAGATTAAATAGCCTCCTGACTTTCGAAATTAGTGGCCAAAGGATTACTTTCAGGTACAGTAACTACATGGTATCTTGGCATGGAATGTATATATAAGAAGGACCTCCTTGCTCACTCATACAGTTAGTAGAGCAAATCAATATACATAATACAGCTCATATACTGTATCTTTGAGTACCGACTGCCGATTCTAGTCCACTCAAATAGGGTTATGGACCGTTTACCAAGGTAAAACACCTCCATCAAGATCCACCATCCCATTCTTCTCGATGTCAGCATCCCTCTTTCCTAGGACGATATCCGCCAGAGCTGCGGCCGGTTCCTTGGGGTCTCTGGCACCCCCTTTGAGACGCATCTCGCGACCCTTCTCTCCAGTCAAGTTAGTGACGCACCAGCCAGGGTTGAACGCGAGGACCTTGCAACCCCACTCGGCGAAGTTGAAGCGGTGGCAAGCCGCCAACATATTGAGCGCCGCTTTGGACATGCGGTAAGTGTCCCCGCGGATATTTCGGTGTTGGTATTCCGGATCCAGTCGAGACGTCACTGAGCCCTGCTCTGAGGATACGTAGATTATGTAGGGATTCGCCGATTTCTTTAAAAGTGGCTCTAGTGTTTCTGTCACCATCACCTGGCCAAAGAGATTGGTCTCGAAGGTCTCGCGGAGAGCAGTTAGTTGGTCGATGGGCTGATAGATTAGGATACCGGCGTTGTTTATCAACACATCCAGCTTTCCAAACTGAGTTTCAATTTGCTGTCTAGCCGCGTCGATAGACTTTTGGTCCGTAACGTCGATCTGAATCGTGGATATTGGACCTTTTAAAGAACTCCCGCGAGCCGACTGTAACTCATCTAAAGCTCTTTGACCCTTTTCTATAGAGCGGCTGCCGAGTAGGATGTGAAAATCGGCCGACGTATTTGATAGAGCAGCAACCGTTTCGTAACCAATTCCGCTACTAGCCCCTAAACCAAAGTCAATCTCTTATTTATAATTTTATATCGAGTAACCTACCAGTGACGAGGATAATGGTCTTATTGGAAGCCATTATGAGTTAGTGCTGCTTTATGTAAAGTTGAAATAGTTGGATCTATGTTTGTAACTGATATGATGAAGTGAACAGACCTGGGGACATGTTCATCAGTAGCAAATATATCTGCTCATTTTGAGATGGAGATTAGTTAAACGAGTGTATAAAGTCCGTTAACTGCGAACTGGTTCCTCGACGTGCATCTTTGAGTTTCATGCCTGTGTACTTACGAGTCATGTTACCCCTGAGCTTCCCATTTAGAGGCATTTGATAACGTCTCTTTGAGAACATGCGCAATCGAGACGGCTTTGTACGTGATAGCAGTGCTTAAATAGAATAATCTGAATATTCTATTGTTTTTGTCTACAAGTCTATAAGTACACTAGTGACTACTGAGGGTGAATTGATGCTTTCGTAATCCAGTTGCTCACTAAGGGGTAAGGTGTGTGGTATTTACCTACCCCTTACAAAAGGCCAATGCCATTTTACCATTTAATACCAATGGGTGCCGCGGAGACCGCGGCTGCACCGCCGCTTTATATTCTATACTAAAAGCCAGTCGTGACGTCGTATAGTGTTAAATCCCAATTTGGTTTTGGGGTCCCATTTACTATGATGCTGAGATAGCACCTTAAGTCCGTGGTACATTGTAGCTTGAAGTCACCATACAATCCTTACCTTCGAACCTAATACCAAAGAAACTGGGAACCAAAGTCAACGTCATGGGATCTTCATACACGCCACGCTATATTCTCCGGCGGAGATAAGATACTCGGACATTCTTTCATTGTCCGAGTCCGGGAGGATAACCATGCACGATATTCAATTCAACGAACCAATGTCAGATATGAGCATTTATAGATAGCAAATGGAATATCTATTTGTGTCTTAACTAGGTACGTAGTACGCCTTAGAAAACGTAATGTGGTTCATGGCGTATTAAAGTGGCTTGGTTAATGCATAGTACGGCCTTATGACTTTTCGTAACTTTGGAGATACCACCGATTTTCTCATTTATCATCCTAGGTAGCTTTAACACGAATTGAATTTCTTTAATTGATCATTTCATTGTAATTTAAGTAATGATGAAAAGTATAAGCGATTAAACGCCATCTCGGGGCGCATTAATACCACCCACTAGTCATCCAAGTAACCCAACGTTAACCTTTTATCCCTCTAAAACCTAGTTGCAAGCAAAATTAACTAACTAGCATCAGTTAATTAGTATATATTTATTTTTCATAGATAGCAGGTAACGAACTAGGTCTATTAGTAGGTAGATAAAGTCATCCGCGCAGTAACTATCCTTGGCAAATAATGTTGAATGGGATACGGTACCAGTTCGACACGGTTATAACTCTCGACCTAAGGAAGTAGTTCTCGTGTAAATTAGGTAAACCAGCTTCAACTTCTAATAGCCTTTAATAAACGACTATGGTGTCGTAGGTGAAGAACTATCCCCCCCTCCCCCCCCACCAAAAAAGAAAAAGCCCATTCTAAGCAAACCAAGATGATAAGAACTGAATTGCTAAATTACACTCGGCAATGTTTCAAGTTCGGAGGCTTTACGATACTGCCACGCAGTACGCCAAGTATGTGGCTTGCGCTCTGGGGCTATATAAAAGTAAATCTAACACAATTTCGCCACAACCAAAATCAACAAGAGGAGAGTCAAACATCAGTTAGTCCGGGCCCCGGGTGCTGGCATGGTCGGCTCCCGGGCTTTCCGGGATATCAGCCGAGGTACGAAAGATGGTACGGCGGACCTTATCAATCGGATCTTGATGTGGTATCGTATATATCTAAGTCTAATTGGTTGAATTTGTCGTGCGATTCCTAAAGGGGTACTAAATTCGGCAGGGCTGAATTCGTTGGTTGGATCGTATATCGTTCTAATTATGCCACGGCCAACTATGAACACGCTACATCTTTCAATTCCCCGATACGATTCGGATATAAAATCAAATTAAAAATGCTTGGCCCGTTAATGTTAAGTTTCTCGTCAGCCTTGAAACGCCATCCCGATGTTTATATTCGAGAACCGACTTCCAATGTTGTTAACGAGACTCATAATGCTTTTATGATACCTCTTGATTTACAGCCCCGCCGGACTCGGGAACCTTTTTAACCCGAGAGCTTCGTCGCCCTAGTCCACAGAACCCTCATAATCCCCATTGAGTGATCAGGTCTTATGTAGGTTCCAGTAATGATCAGATTACCTATAAATTCTAATCGCTACAATCTAATACACAACCTACCTCCTAATACACAATCTAATACATGATACTCTCTAAACGTTGACTGTAACCATGAAGCCCGGAGGAGAATTCAAAGTTATAATCGTGGGCGGCGGCATTGCCGGCCTCACTCTTGCGAATATGTTGGAGAGATTCGGCTTAAATTATATCCTCTTGGAATCTCACTCGGAGATCGCACCCCAGGTGGGTGCCAGCATCGGTCTATTTCCCAATGGTCTACGAATCCTCGACCAGTTAGGATGCTATGAGCAGATCCTCGAGATATTCCAAGGCAAGGACTTCACCGAAAGGACGTACATACGACATAAGAACGGCAAGGCCCTCACCATCCTCTATAGTATGAAGGGGCATTTTGAATGGCGGTAGGTATCCCGAGATTTTGAGGCGTATGATGCCAGCAGGTCAACTCTGACAGTCATCGCAGACACAGCTATGGACTACTCTTCTTCGATAGACAGAGGCTCTTGCAGATTTTATATGACAATCTCGAGCACAAGGACCGAGTGCTGCTAAAAAAGAAGTTCACCACCGCTAGTCTAACGGACGGGGTCGTTAGAGTTACTTGCGAGGACGGCTCCGTATATGACGGCACTCTTCTTGTTGGTGCGGATGGTGTCCACAGCGCTGTCCGATCGACCATGATTGCCCTTGGCAATAAGATTCGGCCGGGCTCATTCGATCTGAAGGAGCAGGATGAAATTCCTTGCTATTATAGGTGTAGCTTCGGAATCGCACAGCACGTACCGGGCTGGATCACAGGCGAGCAGCATGTCGTGCTAGGCCGGCATCAGTCTCAGCTCGTTGTTTCTGGACCTGATGACCGTGTATACTGGTTCCTCTTCGACAAGCTACCGGAGACGAAGTACGGCAAAGATATACCCAACTTTACCAAAGAAGACGAGGCGGAGTTCGTCAAGCGCAATTTCAACCTACCCATTACCGAGAAAGTTACATTCGGTCAAGTTTATAGCAAGCGCCTCTCGTCAACTCTAACACCGCTACACGAATTCGTTTGTAAGAAGTGGTTCTTCGATAGAATCGTAACATTGGGAGACTCTGTTCACAAGGTATGTCGACTCACTATAATCATCGCTCCATATACCCACCTTTACTATTTCACCCTATAAAGCTAATCGCGCTATCAGCCTAATCCAATCGGAGGCCAGGGCGCTAACGGTGCTATCGAGTCCTGTGCGGAACTCATCAACGCGTTGTTGCGCAAGAGAGACGACCGAGGCGGATCTTTAAACGGTCTTTCGAGTCAGGAAGCTGAGCAGATCTTCTGGGAGACGCAAAATGCCAGGCAGAAGCGAGCACAGATGATTGTCGATCTAGGCCACTGGAACCAGGACCTCAACGCTTACGAGAATGTCGTATATTCTTCGCTGATCTTCAAGTGCCTAATCCCTTTAGCTGGTTTGGAAGGCCGGTTAAGTCAAGTAGCGGAAGTCTTTACTGGTGCTTCAGTAGTGAAAGCGCTCCCTGTTCCCAAGCGAGCCCGAGCGGTTCCCTACCGCGATGAGCTTCCAGCGGTTCCTTTAAGCAAGGGTTCGTATTTCGTTCGAGGCGTCTTAGTTGGGGCTATGAGTCTTGCCTTATTAGTCACCACCAAGGCTTGGAGACTTACGGTTCCTGCAATCGAAGAGTGGATGGATAGGGTCCCTGTTGTCATACGATGGTTTGGCGAGAATAACGTGTCAAAGGTGCTGAACATGTACGTGTCGATCCTATCAATACCGATGCTAGACGAAGACCCTTCCACCAGGTTACATCTGGTGAACTTTCTTTCCCAACTCATATCTCCGCTCCTCATCTACTGCATCGAAGGGTACCGCGCGGGGAATCAAGAAACCCCTCTCGCTTTATCATCCACGTATTCGGTCGGTATGCAGCTTCTGGGCATCGGTTGCATAGGCCCAACGCACGCCATTCTGAGCAGCCTTTTCACACACGAGTCCCCAACCGGCCGCTCTATACCCGTAAGCGTAGCCAAGTCTTTGGTTCCTGCTATCACGCTTGGCTTCGTAATTCCGACTATCTTCCTCCTCATACCCGTTCCTAGCATTAGGGGTTGGCAGAACCTACTGGCATTATGGCAGTTTGGGCCGCCCTTATTCAACGTCTTAACTAAAGTCTTCTCCGTCGGTCTTGAAAGAGTGAAATACGGCAACCAGTCTGCCGCAAAACGCGAAAAGGAGCATCAGTTTGACTTATATGAGAAGAAGGACGTACCTATCCTCAAATCAGTTTATACGTACGCTTTTGCCGTTCAAGCTACAGCCCACATCGCCACCCTCTCGTACATCTGGATGCATCCGGGTATCTCAATCGCCAAGACCTTCTTCGGTTTACCGAACCCCCTTACTCCGTCGTGGAACTTACCAGACCTCTTCTCAGAGGTAGCCACATTTTTCAGGTACGATATGGCGCTCGCAGTTACGTCCTTCTTAATCGGTAATCTGTATTCGATCTGGGATCTACGCCGGCTCGGTTATATTAAGACTACGGAAGCAATAAAAGCTGCCCTGGCAGTGGTAGCTGGCCAGTTTCTCGTCGGTTCAGGTGCTACGTGGGCAGGTTTATGGTATTGGCGAGAGGAAAAGCTGGCTAGCTTGGGTATAGGAGAGAGTGAAAAGTAGGACCGGAATTAAATATACGGGAGACGGAATAGAAATAGAAACATCATTAAGGCGAGTATAGATAGAATCGGTCTTATGTTAACTACGCCTAGAATATAGAAATAGATTGAGTTACGACAATTTCCCCTGCAGCCCCTGTATCCCCTAAACAATCAAAGTATTACGTAATATTCAGAGGGAAAGAGCCTGCTTAGTCAGGTAGGAAAATGTACATGTAGTACCTATAGTCCACCGTACGCGGTCACGTGTATGACGGTCATCCTGAATCAATGGCAATCATAAGTTATGGTTCATAACCCACGACGCTTCTAAACACTACCGTTTCACAATTCAATCATAACGGTTAGCCGTTTACAGATAGGATTAATTACGACGATGGCCAGTATACCGTCGAATATAAATATGGCTGAAGACGCTCGTTGCCTTATGGCTATAATAGATGTTCTAGCATCGGCGACGACGTTCCCATTCAAAACATAGAGACTCAAGAAATAAACAAATAGGACGTACTCTTTAGATGCTACCAGTAGTTTCAAATCCGACATCTGCTAACGCCGGATCACGGACTGGAACCGAGATGAAGGACCTGCCAGACTATCCCATACCGCAAGGCGTCCACGCCATCCCGCCAGAGCTCTTAGACACACGATCCGATGATGAACTTGACAATGATATCATGCACCCGAGGCCCGTCTCGAGCGAGAAAAACATCTGGTTCTTCTGGCACGCGGGCTACGCGACGATGCACCCATACGCAAAGCGCAACGTGCGCGCCTGGCATCGGCGCTTATCGAAGCGCGGCTGGACGGTGCGCGTTCTCGATCGCGCGCCGGGCTCGCTTTCTAACGTAGCGAATTTCCTCGACGTCTCGGATCCGCACGCGTTCCCGCGCGCATTCGCCGAGGGCACTATCGGCGGCCGTTACGCGATGCAGCACGCATCTGATCTCGTGCGGTGGCCGCTGCTGCTTCGGTACGGCGGCGTGTATGCGGACGTCGGTCTGATGCAGATCGGCGACCTGGATAGGCTGTGGAATGAAACTGTCGCTAATCCCGACTCTCCCTTCGAAGTACTCTCGTATAACCTGAACGGCGGCTTAGCCAACTATTTCCTTGCGTCGCGCCCGGGAAATCCGTTTTTTGAGAGGTGTCACCGGCTATTCCTTGCTCTGTGGGCCGAAGACGGCGGGAAGACTAGCACCGATGGGATGCATGCCAGTCCGCTGCTCAAGGGTGTCCCGCTTATGAGCAGCTCGGTTACGATTGAGGAAGACGGAAAGATTATTGGGTCCGACGAGGTGCAGAAGATGTTGAGCGACTATATCGCCCAGGGCCAGGCGACGTCGATGGTCATGGGCTTGGTTGACGACGAGGACGGATGGGACGGGCCACGATACGTTGCGGATCATATATACGGCATTGATTATATGGTAGGTTCTCAGCTGATCAACGAAATTACTGGCTGGGATGGGAAGAAGGCATTCAATCTCATGTCGCTCCCTCTCCCGAAGCCCGGCGAAGTGGAAAGCGCCGACCAAAAACAGGCGCGAGAAATTGTAGAAGCTTGTCTGCAGAGGAGCTTCGGATTCAAGCTAGCGCACGGTTTAATCATAAGGGTCTTTAAATATACCTTAGGATCGTTGTGGAGGGATCACGAGGGCTCGGATGACGTGCCGGGGACCTACGCACATTGGTTGAGGCACGGGACGGCTTACTGGAATCAAGACGAGTTGCCACCAGCTTTAGAGTTTGGAGTCATAGAACCATTTAAGAGAGGCCCTTTATTAAGGGAGAAATAACATGAAAATAGGAAGCCTACGATTTCAGTCCCCAGGTGTTATCAGGTTTTTCATATTTACTTGACAGGATTTTATAATATCAACCCCGTGCTTATCCTAGAGGTAGGTAGTAGACTAAAGTTGATATTAGGCTAAGACATATCAGATTAAGATATTTGGGAGTTAATGCTATTCCACTAGCCACTACATTAGATACCCACTAACGCCATCCCTGACCATGATCGCTCGGATGTATGCATGTCTTAACGGTAGGGAGGATTTCCGTACCCACCTCCCCATTGCTGCTGTCCGTAAGGCGGATATCCCTGCGGGGGTGGTGGTGCCCCGTATCCTTGATCAGGATAACCTTGTGATGGTTGTGATGCACCATAATATGAGGAGGCTTCACCCTGGGGCGGTGCTCCGTAGCCCTGCTGAGGATAATTTGGTTGGCCGTAGCCCTGATGCTGAGGAGGCTGGCCGCCGTAACCCTGATGAGGGGACTGGTGCGCTGAATAGCCGTAACCCGGGCTCGGTGCCGGACGTCCTTGAGAATGGGAGGATGTCGGACGACTCGATCCGTAACCTGATCCTGGATGCAGTGTCTCTCCTGCGCCCATGGCGTTGAGATCTCTCGTGGCACACTGCGACCAGAGCGAGCCGGAAGGTTGGCCGTGGCCCAGCTGCTCCATAAGTCCCCCGTCAAGTCCGCCGTCAAAGATACCACCGCCGTGCGAGTGGCCCTTGTGCCCCGATAAGAGGTGGTTCTTACCATTCCGTACGGATTCAGAGCCTAACACGCGGTTAAGATCGTGCCGGCGCGAGTGCTCGTCAGCCCACTTGCGCACGGTATTGAACATCTCGCGCTGGATCTCGACGCGCTCGTCTCGGAGGGCTGGGTGGTGGAAAGCGCGTAAGACGTCGCTGACGACTTCATCTACTGGCACGCCGGGATTATCCCAAGCGTAGAGAATCCGCCTGGAGATGTGTTAATGTGTTGTCCATATTATCTATGAGGAGGTTCGAGGGCATACTTACGGAACGACGTATTCTAAGATGGTTGCGGCAATTCTTCCTGCGCACGGGTTTAAAACATTCGTGAAATGGTCCTTAGAAAGCATAGAGTGGGTTGGGTCGGTGCAGTGAGGATTCTTCCACGGCTCCAGCTGCGAGTGGGCGCTGGCGCTGATGACGCTGGAAGAGCCATCTTTTAACGCTTTAGTGACGGCATTTATGATAGGCCTGATGAATGGAGCTAGCAGGCCGAGGACAAACGCAGTGAGTGTCTCGCTGATATGCTCGAGAAGACTCTCCAGGCCGGGAATTTTAGCAATGCCTCTGTTGATCGACTTTACGATTTTGTCGCGGAATTCTAAGATAGGGTAAATCTGCTTGGAAACCTTGACAGGGTCAAAGTTTTCACTCATTCCGGGGACGATGTTCTGGTTAGCTCGGGTGCCAGAGTACTCTTGCTGCTCGTTCCGCCTCTCTTGATCAGCGGCCATCCTCTTCAACTCGCGCGCCTCCGAAGCCATTCCACCTCCAACGCCAGGCAACTGGCCGACGAGAGAGATGAAATCGCCCGCGCCGAATCCGCCCCCGAAACCCCGCGTGCCACTACCCCCCGACGACCCGGAAGACTGTTCCGAGTTCTTCAAGGCAATATCCAACTGGTCGACCTCGGATTGTGTGAAGTGGTCGTTGGCTTCTCCCAGTACGGAGTGTAGAAAGTCGACGCCGCCAAAGGTGCCCGTCACTAAGGGGAAGACTCGTTTGCCGCGTAGGTTAATCTCGGAACTCGATCCGCAATGGGGAAAGACCTCGTGGTACCCGAGTTCGCGGAGAGCCAGCTCGCAGTAGTTGCTATGAGCGCTAAAGTCCTCCATGCAATGAAGCGCCTGGCCTAGACATCTCAAGGCTTCGCATAGGTCCTCTTCCTTCCCTTTACCGTGAGAGCCGTGGTAGTATAGCCTACCAAAGTGGACGCTTCGGCCGAAGCTAAACCGGAGATATCCAGCGCTGGTTGCCCAATTGCCTTGCTCGTTGGCGATGTAATTCTTCATGCCGGTGCGCGGGTCAATTTCGGTCTCGATGGGAAGTACAGGCCCTCTCAGTCGCTTATCGAATGTTCTGGCATCCAGGCCGTCGGCATATCCGAGGGGGTTATCGATGTGTTCTTCCGGACGGTAAACGCCGAGGCGCTCTTCCGTAACTTCAAACTCCTCAGTAGCATAGCCGTTGGCGAGGAACGACAAGACCCAGACAAGGATGCGAATGGTGGCGGCGTTGACTCCTTTCAAGCTTCCGACATCGATGGCCTGGGAGTAATCGCGGAGCCAATTCCCGAAATATGTGCGCTGAACCATCAACGTGGTCCACTTCTTTCCGTGAAGGAAAGCGATCGTCTTGAGCGTATCCTCAATATCGCCGTGGCGCCAGTTGTGACCTTCCACCTGAGCGATGGAGGGGATGTTACCGGCGCCGAAAGCAGCAGCTTTGCCGGGCATAGCGATCAGGATGACGGCCATGATAAGCAGCAGGCTGCCTGAGCCGAAACGGTATGAAGCCATGGCGCGTGCCGGCCTAGTGACGAAATTATCTCTATTTCCGTAACGAATGAGGTGCGTTTCCGACAATGGGATTGATAACAATGAGACGTATGATGAGTGGGAAGAACTTGAGAGAATAGATGGCGGGGTAGTTCTGATAGGTACAAAATGATGCCACCACAAAATATTGCACAATGCACAATGCCGCCGATGTAAGAATTTAGTGTAGAAGGAGCTTAAGCGCGATAGGAAACTGAAAATTGAAAATTGAAACTTGAAAACTGACAACTGAAAACTGATTTCGGCAACGATGCCGACGTGAGCTGAAAGAAACTTTACCCTGAATTTACCTGGAAGCTAAGCCTTAAATCGCAACATTACCCTCCAATCAAGTTCTCGGCAGCCCTTGACCGGCGTGGCCGCTACTGCGTCGATGAAGTCATACTTGCCGTTACTAAGTGGCTGGCTGATGTACTATATGTACACGGATATTACCTATAGGAATATGTAAAAGGTATGTTAAGTAGGTAGGTACCTAATGTATGTACTATACCGTACTATACCTAAGGTACTGTGTGGCGTAGTGTATGCTACCTTCCATCTTACGTGCATACAACTATAGGTACGCTGGTACGTCGTAGCAGACATCTACTGTAAATGCGACTCGACCTCTAATAGCCGTCAAGAAGCGTCAAGTATGCAGGTGCAGCCCTATGCCCGAAGATGGATTTAGCTGAGGCTCTTGGGAGACAACACAACGTTACTACCATATGGCATGTGCTCGGCTTTCT